GGGACTGCCAGTACACGATGCTCATTGACGTACGAGCTTTTCCTGGGGTCCGTTGCGAGAATGTAAATCTTGCTCTCCTCCAACAAACAACCATCATCATGGAGGCCGGCGATGCCGCGAACATTGCACATGCCTCGGACCATGACAACGGCGCGGGTGTCTTGCTGAAAGCCGTGCAAATGTCGAGACAGGCCAAGTCTGAGTGCGCAACCCAAGATGCAACGTCGAGCCCCACTAACATATGTACAGGCAAAGGAACGGTACACGTACTGCCACGACAGAAGCGAGAGACTTACCATCTCCAGAAGATACGCAAATCATCGAGGACAGATACATCTCTAGAGATTCGAAACGTTCCAAAACGCCGTCTGATCAGCTTCCCGCGTGCGCCGAAAGTTCATACAACACGACTGATTCTTCCTCGACGCCGTCTGTGGCAAACCAGCAAAATGTTATACGAATGCACGACGACTCAACTACCTCAGGAGTGCCCACATACCCGGCTGTTCCGAAACTTCAATTCTTGAATGTGACAGATGCCGTACACCAGAGCCATGCCCTCACCATGCCTCGCCGCAAGCCTCTGCCGAAGTCGTCGCAGAACGAGCTGACTCCGATTATCGAACCTAAACCACCGTTTTATCGCCCAGTATCTGCACCTCCTCTGAGAACCACCACGTTGAGCAACGACACCGAGGAGGATACTATTCATCCATGCTCGCCTCTAAGTAGGCCTTCCTCGCGCGCATCGACAATGAATTCCCTAGTCTCTGCGAAGTCACACACAGAGCCTGGACCTATACACATTCATCCATCCTCCCAGCTCCAAAGCATGCAGTCTATCGGCGAGCTAGATGCAAGACTCCATGAAGTCGCCAGTCTGCGTAACTCATTGAGAATGACGTGGCCCAGCCGTACAAGTAGTGACGCAACTCCGACCGGTACTCCAGAGTCTATATCCAATGTGCCATTGAGCGGTGGAGTTTATGAAGCTCATTCAAGGTTGAACAGTAACATCCGTTCGAAGTCCACCGAAAGAGTGTATTTACATGACTGGGCGAGATCGAGCGAATGGGTTCAGCCTTCTGCCACCGATGAAAGCTCAAAAGAGTGGATCGAGGACTTCCTTGCTCGCCAGGAACAAGCAACTCGCGACGTGCATGGTGAAGGACGACGTCTAGGAAAGCAAGACAGCAAGTATGGCAGTATCCGCAGCCGAGTGGGTAGTATCGACAAGTTCAGGCGCAAGCTAAGCATGAGGCGTGTTACAGATGAACGGGGAAGCTTCGAGGCAAGGCAAGAGAGGAGGCAAGGACGGGTCTTTGACTTGGACATTGAATCGTCTCCTTACGGAAGGGCAATCGTGCCAATACCTGGAGAAGATTTGGAGAGACCGGCGATATCAAGAGCGTTCTCACGCAATTCCATCACGAATCAGCACCTCAGGCCTGAAACCGCTATGTCGAACCGATCGTCCTGGGCCCCTACATCTTCTTCGGGTCTGCATTCAACGCATGCGCCGGAACCGCACCACATGTCACTACCATCGCGATGGCCATCTTCATATCCTACCTGCAGCACCTTCACACCAAACCCCTATCATTCGACGCCCAAGCAACGACCTAAAGTCAAAAAGCATCGATATCAAACGCATGGTTACGGCTACCAAGCGCGTGGCTATCAATCGCATGGCAGAACCGGCAGCTGGGAGAAGTTGAAGGTCAAAGCGGTGACTTCTATAGGCTCGGATCTCAAGAGAAGTATTTCTACTGGTGTCGCGCCCGTCATCACGGAGGGAAAGGACAGTGTGAAGAATCTGGTGGGTAAGGTGGAGAGAGCCGGTGGGAGTATGACTAGGAAATTCAGCGCGAGCTTGAAGGACAAGTTGAAAGCTTTCGGCAAGAAAAAGGAGGGCATGAGTGTTGAAGGGACTTATGCAGTTCAAGGTGAGCGTTGAATCCAATCGCGAGTTAGTTCCAATGTCTTTGGACGCATGTTGCACGATACTACATTGATATTCGCTTAGCGGTTTGAAAGCGCAGTTTTTTTTGGAATCACAATGACCTCCTACAACGCTCGCTATTCCTTTCTCAAGAAATTTCGTTCGATACAGCAAACAGAGTCAACCCGGTATCTAGCGATATCGCATGACGACCAGAGGTGATGATTGAGTCTAGCCTTCCGCGGAGTTGCTCTCCAAATCGTCACCACCGCCCCTGAACCACAAAACTCTTATCCATCAACCGATGTTTTGACGAATGTCAACATCATGCAAGGACCCTGTGTCAGAGTCCGACGCACTGGATCACGGCACATAGAACGGTACCCCTCGGGACCAGCACACTGGTCCCACTCAATGGAAATGCTGTCTCTTTACCGCACGATCAACCAAACAACTCGTCAAGCCTGGAGTTTACACAGCTCATAGGCCGCTTTCTGAGACGACACGGTCATTACGAGCCGAAGTTGACGCCAGAATATTCTCCTCCGATTTGTTCGCAACACTCGGCATCTCTCAAACATGTCATGATCATGCCCGAAGCTACCGTTCGACTTCATACCCATCTTTTCAGTGCCTTTGTACTGACGATTCTTCCCAAGCGCATATCAAGATCCCCACTGTCGAGCCGTCAAAATGCCACGCTACTTCCCCACAATACCTCTCCAACCCTCACAGCCATTGCCTCTTCACCGAGGCTGCAAAGCATACTTTCTGAACAATCACCCGGCACTATACACCAAGCTACGCACCTTCAGCACACACCATGTGCATCCTTCACTCTCTTCCCATCCAGTTTCAGCGATATATCCCTGGCCGTACGCACCCCACCAATGTGTGTCGAGCATATACTGACTAGTCTCCAGCCTCGACGCGATCCTCCTCCCCAAGCGCAAGCCTAACGAAACCCCCTTAGACAAAATATACGTAATGTACCATTATCTAATCCGCGGCGACTACGAAGTTCTTCGCAACGAAGTGCAAGACTTCTTCGATCACACAAATTGGCACGTCCACTCCATCCCCGACCCGCGCGACCACGACCCAGAACGCTATGCCATACTCGCGGCTATAACACAATACCTTGCGCATGGCATCAACCGTCGCATTAAGATCAGCAACGGGTATCGGAAGGAGCCCTTGGGGGCATGGAAGACGGCAGCGTACGACGCTTGTTATAATGGTAGAGGTGGTCTACCAATCTTTGAAAAGCTGGAGAGGGAACCGAAATGGGCGGGGAGGGTTAAGAGGATAAATACCGGGTTAGAGATTTGTCAAAGTTGGAACAGTGCGGTGTGGGGAGAGAGAAGTAGTATGAGGTTTGCGGCTAAGGGAATTGTGAGTGTGGAGATTGTGGAATGCTTCATCTGACGGGGTCAAAGCATAGACGTGGTGTGTTTAGCTGGAGTTTGGTATACTGTAGTTTCTGCGACGTTCATCGCGCGAGTGTTTCTAGGGAGAGGATTACTCTCTCGCGACTCTACGACGCTTCGTCTTCGATTTCCAAGTTCCCCACTTTGAACTTCTGGCCTTTCTTGTCCGCAAAATCCCCATGATCGTGATAGTCCTTCACCCTCTCTCTCACATACTCCAACCCCCTGACCGGCTTCCTCTCTTCCGAATGTTCGTCGACAAGCCCCAATCTTCTCAACAAAGGCGATGCCACAGGCTTGACATCGACCTCATTTCCCGGTCTGACAAAGTAGAACAGCCCCAGCCGATGAATATGCGCTTGATCCTCTGGTGGTCTGATTACTCTGTGGATAGTCGACTTGAAGTAGCCTGCAGACCAGAAGGACAAAGTATCACCAACATTACATATGATGCCGTTGGGAACAGGTGGAACGTACTTCCACTCTCCAGCCGGAGTTTTGAGTTGGAGACCTGCAACATCTTGACTCCAGAGTAGTGTCAAGCTTCCGAAATCAGTGTGCGCGCGAGACCAAGTATTCTGAACTTTGGCATCGTCGGCAGCGGGGCGTGGGTGGTAGATCATGTAGCGTAGATGGTCTTCTGATGCGTCGTCGTAGCGATGTTGATCTGAGAAGTAGGTCTCGGGTAGTTCCAGGATCAAAGAGAAGAGCGTGAAGATCTTGGATGCTATGTCCAGAGAGCGGCGCGAGAAGGACTCGATCTCTGGGCGAAAGGGGTGGAGGAAGTGTGGAAATGGCTCGTGGGAGTTTGAAGGGATGAATTTGGGTATGTTGAGGGATTCAACGTTATCGAGGACCGCGGTGCCCATGATTTTCTTCTCGTTGGCCTTGGCTTTGCGTTAGACAAGCGTAATTTGCTTTCTAATGGCATGGATATGAGGGGCGTACAGCGCGGTATCCAAAGTAGTTGCCCTTTGCGAAATCACATCGGTACTTTGGGTCGCCCTTCTCTTCTAACGGCAAGTCGAAATAAGCTTGACCGATATCATATTGACGCTCGATCTCTTCCTGCGTTAGACCAGTGCCAGTAACGCTGAAGAAGCCCGTGTGGTGCACCTTCGGCGTTGTCAGAAGGGACGTTTGTCGCACAGTTTAGCTGCCAACTCACTGCGTCTCTCAGCTCTTCAGCCAGTTTTTGTTTTCCATTAGGTTCGTCATACGTAGATAGATCAATGACCTTGATCTCTGCCCAGTCTAGCTTCTTCGTTGTTTGCTTGGGCCGTCCCCACTTTGGAATGGAAGGTGGCTGTCGCAGCGTCGCTGATGGCATGTTGCTGGCAGTAGTTTCAACTTACGAGACTTGGGCGACTTGGAGTCCTGTTTGACTTTTATACATTCTGCGACGTTATTCCCGGTTATTTCTAGTCCATCGCAACGGGTTGTGTCTCGCTGCATAGATGCGGAGGTGGCGAGCACGCAATACCCCGCTTGATGATGTGCTCGCATGACAGCATCGCATAACCCATGCTCTTCTTGCAATTACCACGTCGGTTTGTTCTTCTCAAACAAATGGGTGGTAAAGCATCGTTGCCAAGTCGTGCCGGCCCTGTCATCCGTTCTTGAACTGGCTATGGTCGGGCAATTTGACCGCCCCTTTTGCCGTCTTCTCCAACAATTTCGACAAAGTCTTGCCCATCCATCATCGCACCGCGCAGCCCATCCAAATCGGAATCTGGGATTTCAGCGTAGCTGTCCCAGATGATCTTTCCAAACTCATCGAACCACCATATTTTCACCCTGCTCTTCTCGATAGCTTCTTCGTCTGCCACGTACACATAGTTCTGAACTCGGTTAGCCACTTCTCTGATATCGAACAGCTCTTGATCTGTGATGTTGCGATCTACATGACTCCCGTCCTCTTCCCTCTCGATTTGGTAGATGGCACTTCCATAAACAAGTTCACTACCATCTCCATACTCGTCCATTATACCCAAACCATCGGTCAGTCCGGGAATGCGAAGAAGAAGCTGATCCAGGACTTCCTGATCCAGTCCATGGAAGTCATAAAGCGCACAATCATCTAAAACATGGTTCAAACTTTCAACGCAGCCGTCCTCGATGTTAGCCCCAGAAAGTCGTGCGAGCTCAGCGTAGCTTTGGGCCATTGAGGGCTTGTAACATGTCCTTAACCAGACTGTGTTCCACCCTGAGTACCATCTGCTGATATTGTGTTCTTGGATGGTTTGATGCGGAGCAAATATCTCGTCGATTTGTTTTGTGGTGGGCGAAGGAAGAGATGCTGCACCAGGGACTTCGTCCAGTGCGCCCTGGACCCGCTTGTACAGAGGCTGGGTAGCGTCAATTTTGAGGCCAATGCAATCACGCCGTGGCATCGGGTGAGGCATGCCGCACCCATCTCTGCAGGAGGCTTGTACTGCGGTACCTCCTGGCTATTTCAATCCATCGCTGATGATGGTCGGCTGGCAGCGCAGGTCTGGTGCTTTCCCAATGTTCCTAAAGGCATGTTAATCACTTGTATCCCCATTCTGTTGTATTGAGTTGGCTTACTAGAGCGAACAGATCAAAAGGGGAGCGAACATGTCGTGTTTCGGCTTCCACCGACGCCATTATCTCTCAAAGAACCTAGGTAGAGGACACCGAGTCAAGCGAATCAGTCGCACTTTTCGCGAGTGAGTCAACAGCTTGTCATAGGAAACATCAGTGTGACTAAGGTAGGTTGCATCGATCTGACGCGCTCCTAGCACACCCAACGCGTGGACACCGCGTGTATTAGTCAGCAAGCTAGCGTACCATCCTGACAGCGCTGACACTGTCACCCAACTCTGAGAGCTCGTAAGGCAAGCATATCTTCGCCAGCGGCGTGGACGATAGTCGATCGTAGGGTAAAATGTCAGATGCACGATGCTTTTCATAGCAAAGCTTCCTGGCCTCGTCGTGTGGAGGCCTTATCGCCAAGATACCATCGGCACTTTCGCATCCTCCGATTCTGCGTTGAGTAAGAAGTACGAGACGTTGCGCATTCCTTGCGGCGGCGGAAGACACCTGACAGCCGATAACTTTCCAAGCTGTCCTTCATGCACAACTGCACGCCTGGAATCCAAACAACTACAAACTCAGTTCCATCCAATTGTAGAACGACCGAGAGATGGTACTAGCGGCGCCAAAGCCACCGATTCTCTTGGGAACCTGGTGATGTCATTAGTCGCGGCAGAATTTCGCCGTAGCGCGCAGGAACCCGATCTGCAAGTAGTAAGGACGGAGTTCCGACTCATGATTGTGTCTGTGTTCTAGTAGGCTGCACCCTGGGTGAATGCAGTGTTGAAGAGTCGGGATGCATGCAAAGGACCGAAAGAGAAAAGGAATGTGATGTATATAGAGTAGTCGGACGGACGTCCGATGCGCATATAATCACACTGCAGCTCTCCCCGTCTTGTATACTATTACCCGCAGCACCTTCCACACGTTCGTCTAGGCAGAATCTCAGTACCTCAGTTCCCACAACCCAAACCTACGGCTTTGTCGAACGTTGGGACTGCCTTCATGATGCCGTCCGCTACACAACCTCTCAATATCCTGATATCAGGATCCGGCATCGCCGGTCCTGTGACTGCGTACTGGCTGCATCGCTTCATGCCCACCTGCCAAATCACCATCGTAGAACGATCGCCGGAACCAAGATTAGGCGGGCAAGCTGTCGATCTTCGCTCATCAGCTCTGCCCATCGTAAAGACGATGGGGATCCTGGAAAAAGTGAAAGAGAAGACTACTACAGAAGTTGGCATGCAATTCGTGTACAGGGATGGGGAAAGGCGCGCAACGTTTGAGGCTACTGGAGAGGAGGAGAGACAAAGTGGTAAGACACCTAGCTTCCATGCACAGTAATCGATGAGAGGAAAAAGACGGCATTGTCAAAGCAACACAAGCACCTAAACTGACCTGATCATAGCAACAAGCGAGTACGAAATCCTAAGAGGAGATATGGCACGCATTGTCTACGAGCTCACACTATCCAACCCAAACATCAAATACGTCTTCGGCGAAATGGCCACAGAGGTCCAACAAGACGAATCCAAAGGCAGCAAAGCACTTGTCACTTTCGCAAACGGCAAGCTCCCACCTACTGAATTTGACGTCGTCATCGGCGCCGATGGCCAAATGTCGCGAACCCGGCGCATCGTGTTCGGCCACGGACCCAAGAACGACGACTATTTGCACCGTCTCGGTCAGTACTCTGCTCTCTTCACCATGCCTCGCGAACCCGTCGATACCCAGTATGCACAGTGGTACAACGCCTCGCGCGGCCGACTGTTCCTTCTACGACCTGACCAGTACGGCACCACGCGAGCGTACCTCGCCATCACCGATGGTGATCTTAGCCGCTTCGAAGAGATTGACAAGCTGTTGAAGAAAGGCACTAGGGAGGAACAGCAAGCGTGGTTCGAGAAGGAGTTCGAGGGTGCCGGATGGCAGACTGAGCGTTGTATACGCGAGATGAAGAGGGCGGATGACTTCTATATGCAGCAGATTGCACAGGTCAGGATGGATACTTGGCACAAAGGGTGTGTGGCCCTGGTGGGTGATGCGGCGTACTGCCCCAGTCCGATTTCTGGTGTCGTAAGTTCTCCTCAACCTTCGTTCTCATCATCGAACCTTCAGACTGATGTCAATACTAGGGTACTGGTGCAGCAATCGTAGGCGCATACGTTCTCGCAGGCGAGATCTCGCGCTCTCAAGATGACATCCCCACCGCGCTCACCAACTATGAACGCATTACACGCGAATATGTCGACAAGGCGCAGAAACTCATCCCCGGAGCCCCGCAAATCGCAAACCCACAGACGGAATGGGGAATCAAGGTCTTCAACACCGTGACCGGGACTTTGTCACATCCGTTCATCCAGAAGTTCAGTGGTGTGATTGGAAAGATCATCCCAGCATTTGGGTCATCAAAGATTTGGAGCCCGCCGGAGTATGGGTTGTGAGGAGTGTGGACGGATGATGTGTTGGAATTTCAGGATGGATTGATCTCGCGCGATATAATTCTGTGAAGAGCTTTTAATGCATTCATCAACTGTTAGCCTGGCGAACGTCCATCAAGCGAATATTCATGGCAGAATGAGTTATTTAGATCGAGGCCAGCACTGACGTTCTCGACTCGTCTACTCGGCAAGCAGGTCTACACCAACGCTTTTCAGCGCGTCGACCGCCCATACAGGATACTTATCCTTTTCCCTGTTGTACAGATCACCAAAGAAGTCCTTGACAAATTGTGGGTAGCGATCCTGCACGATGGCCTCCCTCGCTTCCCTCATCAAATTTAATTGGTAGTAGACGTTGTGCATGGTGAGAAGGTGGGCACCAGCAGTCTCTTTCGCGGTGACGTGGTATATGTAGGCTCGAGTGATACCCAGTCCGCCATCGGATGTCGGACGGCAGCAGGTGCATCGGCAACCTTCTTCGATTGCGCTAAAGTCTTCGGAGTACATGGCATTGCGTAGGTTGAGGGAGCCGCGGGATGTGATGGCGTTGCCGAATCGCTAAATATTGTTAGCATGGGTCTGTGATGAATAGGGAGAAGACCTTACGGCGGTTCGTGTTGGCCAGACACAGTCGAACATGTCGGCGCCGAGTGCGACGGAGACGACCAGATCTTCCGGATATCCCTAGGTTGGTTAGTAAGCTGTAATAATGCTGAGGGCATCCAAAACTTACGACGCCCATGACATATCGCGGCTTCTTCTCAGGAAGCAGGTCGGTACATGTCTTCACGACTTCGCAATAGGCTGCCTTCTCCTCACCGCCAGAGAGACCTCCTATCGCGATGCCTGGTGTATCTCGCGCAACCATCTCGGCGGTACATTCTTTCCGCATGTCCAGGTCCAGGCCACCTTGTATGATACAGAAAAGGTTCTGTCGGTCTGGGTACTTATGCGCTTGCATGCAGCGGTCAAGCCAGCGTACCGAGCGTTCCATGGCTTCCTTCATACGCGCGTGGTCGGGCGAGGTGGTTGCGATAACGTCGTCGAGTTGCATGATTATGTCGGAGCCGATTGAGTTCTGGAGGGAGATGGAGTGCTCGGGTGTGAGCAGCATGGGCGACCCATCGTGGGGGCTGAGGAAACGGACACCTTCTTCGGTGACTTTGGCGAGTTTGAGGAGCGATACCATCTGGAAACTGGTGTTGGCGTCAGTTATGGTGCGTTCGTTCATCACGTTGGAGGCATGACCCACCCACCACTATCTGCAGGAGTCAGCACTTCCGTCTTTCCATCCCTATACGCTGTGGCATGGTGCACCTGTGAGGATATTGTGTGGCCAGGACTGGAGCTTATGCGCGCCGCCTATGGCATCGAGTGTCGCTTGTCCTGGCTTAAGGCCTCTCCCACATGTCAGCAGTGGCTGGCATGGAGGCAGAACGTCGGCCGTACAGGTGATATGTGTTGTTTAGACATAGTCGGCAGCCCTGGTCTTCGAGTTGGTCGGGCGTGAGGCCTTTGAGCGAGGCCTGCGTCGCAACGGGCATGAAGATGGGGAGGGGTACAGGGCCATGAGGCAGATGCAGCGTTGCCGCGCGTGCTTTGGTGACCTGGGCTTGTCAGGGGATGACCAAGACACGAAACTGACACGATACATACCGAGCACTTTCCCAGCAGCTCAAAGGTGAGGGCCGAAGGCATTGAGACGGGCGCCATGATGCAATTGGAGACGCGACCTGCAGCCGATGAGTCGCTTCAGCTGCAGCCCGTAGTGTTGCGGCCCGTTCGCTTAGCGCGACTTCCCCGTGTTAATCGTCATGCAATCCCAGATCCAGTCTCGGGACCAGCCGAGCGCACCGGAACATAGTGAAGCAGTTGGTAGTGTTCAATCGGCGAGAAATCACGCTTGGACTTTTTCAGAGAACTCACGCGGTTGACATCAGCAGTGACTGTACGTTCATTCCTCCATAAATCTGTTAAGGCAGGCTAGACTACCCAGCTTTACATTGGAACAAGGGAAGGCCAGACTACAAATAACCAACTCTAGATGAACAACTTCGAGCCTTGATACTTCGTCTTCTCCCTGTACACAGTAGACTTGAGCGAAGCCTCAAGCTCTCGCTTCGGGAAACCTTTGAGAGATCGTGCGTACGTTGCGACAGAGTGCG